TCCATTCTCAGTACTGTGTGAATGCAATTGCACAGTTAGAAGTGATTCCTCAAAGTTTCCAGCAAGGTATGATTAATGCATGTAAACATGCTTAAATGAATGTTATGCAAAATGCAACGATGCAAATGCAAATGCAGAAATGTGGATCCCAACAATGAATATTTTAGAACAATTTTCACCAGAAATAAAAGTTTTCACATTACAAGACAGTCCACTTTACAGACTTGACTTCTCTTAGATGTTGAATCTGAAATGGGTTGCTGCTTCATCTTGGATCTTCATCCTTGAAAATGATGCCCCTCAAGCGTTTTGTAAACAGACTCTTTTAATGCCCCGGCGATGCTGAAGTCAGTGCATCGCTCCTTGATAAATAGCGATGAAATGATCGTAGATAAAAATTGACTGCTGGATCACTCATTGGATCAGTGGCTCATCATTTTAGTTTCGAACGTTGCACGATCGTCTTGAGCAAGTCTCCTTCTTGTACTCTGTGCATTTCTTTTTAGCCTTCAGTGCATGTCTGTGTATGCGATCGCTTGATTGAAAACTTTTATCTTTTCTTGTGAAAATTTTCTCTCGAATATCCCCTTACGGATCAACACTTTTACATTATGATGATGCAATGCCATGCAATGCAAATGACAAAATGACACAAACAAAAGAGAAGAAATAAGTTAGTATACACAAACAAAAGAGAAAAATAAGTTAGTACATGCAAAATAATTGATACGGATAAAAATGTTATTCAAAGATGAATATAACACCTACCCGACATGATATCTACCCAAACATGCTTTCAATTAAATAACAATCCTACCCGGACATGCTATCTTCCCAAAATGATCTATTTTCATTCAAGAAATTAGTCCTAACCGCATGGTGTCTAGTTCGCATGCTTTATTCGGGAAAAAAATCTACAAATTTAAAAGGTTAAGGTTTAGAGTCGTTCCTCCTTCGTGTACACCTATTTTGGGTACCTACTGACGGACAAAGGTTCGGTATGATTATACCTAGGGTGATCGTTCGACGGTTCACTATATGCTTGGTTTCGGCTCTAACGGGGAAAAGGGTACTCGAATTGTCCTTGATGTCGGTGCCCCCTTGGGCTACCAGACCCTCGATCCTCACCCATTACAGGTTTCGAGCGGAACGAGTTCAATTCGAGGGGATTCACTGCCTTATACCCATACGAGGAATAAATCCCTACGAAGGTATAAGGTATGTATCCCACGAGTTATTTGCTAAAACTCATACGAAGAATAAATTCTTACGAGAGTAAAGCATTCACCCCAACTAGTTTGGATCAAAGCTCGTGTCTGGAGCTTATGTTATGCACATGTATGTGATGTGTGTGAGGAGGAACATACCTACCTTTGACTCAAAATGAAAAAGAAAAAAACTCGACAAAAACTTGGACAGAACTGAAAGCAAAAAGATAAAATGTTAGTATGATAATTAAAAATGAAGCAATTAAAAACTTCAATAAATGGATCATAAATTAACTAAAAATTAGAAATCATAATTTCCATCAAGATGACAATATGTAAACGACATACAGCCTGACTCTCAAAAAAAGAGTCCCCAGCAGAGTCGCCAAGCTGTCATAACCATTTTTTTGTGAAACAATTAAATATTATTTTAAAAACGATTACGACTTTATTTTTTTAAAAAAATGGGTGATCTTGAATTGATTTGAATAAATTTGAAAAGAGTCGCCATCGACCTTTAGATTAGGCAGGTCGAATACCTAAAAACGTCTTTCAAAATAATTTTAAGAAAAATCATTTTTAAAGACAAAAGTGGTCTACGTTTACCAGAAAATCGATTTGATGGGTTCGGGAGTCGGTTACATGTGGGGAAGGATTAGCACCCCCACAGCGTCCAAAATTGGTACTGTATCGCTTACATATCGTCGTGATGATGGAAATTATAAATCGAATATAAAGTTAAATTACGATCCATTTATTGAAATTTAATCAATTTGCTTCGAGTTAATTATTTACAGAAAATTCTTTAACTCGAAAAGAAATATCGAAATTAGTAATCCTCCATCGGGAAAGTTAACTCGACTATTTCTTATCCATAAAGAATATTTCCCTCTTGATAAAATGCGAATCGAATAAAAATGAAATTTACGTTTGCATTCAAATAAAAATGAAATAAATATTAAAAAACACACATTACATTATTAAAATAAATTAATTAGTAAAATATAATCGACTTGTTGCAAGTTCCTATGTCGTTAAAATGCCGTATCGGATCGTACCACTTCGACCAAGTGGTACTTTCCACGCCCATTCTATGCATACGTGTTCTTGAAAATATAGTCGAATATTTCATATATAGATAAAAATATAATGAAAATAAATGTAATTGGAAATACAAAATAAAATATTTACATTACTAAAAAACATCATTTACATACTACAAACAACCAAATAATAAGTGCAATAAAATCATACATAAATGACTAAAATAAAATAAAAAAAATATTATAAACCAAGATAATATTATCAAAAGGTAAATATTTGTAATTACAAGGATCAAAAGGAAGAAAACAGAAACTTGATGTACTGAATAGTAAATACAAGAATTTAAGGGAGTAAATAGCAAATACAGAAACTGAATAGGTTAAAAACAGAAGAAAAAAGAATTTAGGGACCAAAATAAAGAAATAAAACTAATGGGACTAAACAGTAAAAACCAAAGTCCGAATTACAAATATTAAATAATACATGTATCAAAATGAAGATAACCCAAAATAATATAGAGAACTAAAATGAAATTATTACAAACATTGGGACCAAAGTCAAGTATGACTATAATAACATTACATTTAATAATAGGACTAAATAAAATATATATAACTGCAGAATACAATGTACAAATTTATAAAATTAGCAACAGAAGATCTAGTGACCAAAATATAAACTATACGAACATGGTATACAAAATACAAAATACATAAACTGTAAGAGTGACCAAAATGTAACATGCATAAATATTAAGGCCAAATTAAAATATCAACAGAAACATAAAGGGCCGATCAGTAATTAAATAAAATAATAAACAGTGACTAAAATGAATAATCATAAATTCATGGGCCAAATTTGAATATCAAAGAAACATGCATGAAATATTAAATCAGTGGCTAAGATGTAACATTTAAAAATAATGGAACCAGAACCAATATAAACAAAAAATGATATAACCTAGGATAGTGACTAAAATATAAAAGTGAAAAGATAAAGGCTCAAATTGAAATAATGTAAACTTCATTCCATGGCTAAATAACACGGTTACAAAGGATCAGGGACCAAAAGTGTGGTTTACCCCTTAATATGAAAATACGGAAACCCCTTGACCCCTCTAAACGGCGTCGTTTTTGAAACTGGGATATAATCCCATTTTAGGGTTATCAACCGAACCCTAAATCATTTTCAAACCCCTCTCTCAGCCTCCTTTCCTTTCCCTTTCTCTACTCTCCCTTCTCCCTCGCCGCAACAACCAAACAGAGGCTCCCCGGCCACCGTATCGGTGGCCATGGGGAGCAAACCGACCCTCAATCCTCTTTCTTCCTCATCTCCTTTGAAAACCCAACCCTTCACCCAAAAAAAACCGAGAACCCCTTTTAATCCAAACCTAGATTCAAGAAAAAAAAGAACGTTTTACCTTCGATTCAGGGTTTTTCAAGCTCTGGTGAGATTGACAAGGGATAGATCTACAAGGGTAAGACTTTTTTCTTCTCTCTATGTTATTTTTTTTTCCCGAATGCTCTCTATTTTTTTTTTTGGTTATCACCGAATCCTCTCTTGTTCTTCTTTCTGTTTTTTTTACCAACCGAATGACCCCCCCCTTTTTTCTGATATATGCTTGATTTATGGCCGATTTTGCTTCATTTGGTGAGATGATGATGTCTAGAATAGCCCATGTCCTTCTCTGATTTTGTAAGATATAAATCCCGAATATTTAGGGATTTATTGGTATTTTAATTTGGGGTTTGGTTTTTGGTTGATTTAGTCACTGATGGGGTTGATGTTTGATTGATTTTTCACTGTAGATGACGATGGTGGCGCGGGAACGGCGGCTGGACCATCGGAGTGGGCCGGAAAAGTGACGGCGGCGCGGCTGGAAGTCCAACAGAAGCGGCGGCGGCGGCTGAATGATGATAGGTTTAGGGTTTAAAACCCTAATTACTTGGGCTCGTGTTTGGGCCTTGGTTGGGCCTTGGTTGGGCCTTGTTGTATTGGGCTTTGGCCTGCAAAAAAAAAAATATGTAATAATAAATAATAATAAAATAATAAGATGACGATAATAATAATAATAATAATAAAATAACGATAAAAAAAACCCGGACAAAAACGGGTGTCTACAATATTATTAGAAAATTAACTCAATTTAAATCTGACACAATCTAATTTGATCTTGAGAAGTCAAGAACTCAAAATAACTTGAACTAAGTAAAACAAATAACACAAATGACAAAACTCAAACGGACAAAAATTCGAATCGATCAAAATTTATACTGACCTGGCCAAAAAAAACCATGAACCTCAAACCTAAAATTGAACTTCACCCAAAACTGACTATCGCTCTTGTCCCTATCATATTTGTGTATTAATTTAGCCCTTTAAGTTACTCAATTGCATCATTCTAGACCTTATCCCTAACTTAAAACCCTAAATTATAAACTTTAAACCATAACCTTATAATCTCTAAACCATAAACCCTAACTTATAATTTAGAGTTTTAAGTTAAGAGTAGGGTATAAAATGATGCAATTAAATAACTTTGATGGCTAAATTGATGCGAAAATACGATAGGGGCAAGAGTGATAAGTTAAGTCTACTACAGGGGCAAAAGTTACCCTTTTACCTAAATTTAAATTAATCCGACCCAGCTCAATACGACCGGTTAACAAGTATAACAAAATTTAATAACTAAAAAGAAAGAAAAATGTAATGTAGGCAGATCACACATTTCCAGACCCGTGTAAGCAAACTATGAACTTCTCAAAGTCAAAGCACCACCACCAAAAATTTCAAACTACCAAGTAATTCATACAACAACAGAAATTGAGGGACTGAGTTACTATTTTCTTGATTATTTAAGGATAATAGAGTTAAGAGTGCTATCTCTTTAAGTGATGGAAAATTTGACTGACCAAAAAAGATGGGAGAGGGAACTTTCATGGCATACAAGGATTGTCTTCGGTCACCGATATTCCGTCTTTGCAATTGTCCACATCCAACAAGCCATTTGCTGACACACAAGGATTGTCTTCCGTCCCTGATGTTCTGTCTTTTCCATTTCGCTATCCAAAATGTCAGTTGTTGGTTGTTTCTCTTGCTTGGATTTGGCAATATTTCGGGGGTTCAGGAAGCTAGGCTGGTTGGTAGAAGAGAGCAGTCTCGCCCACATCCTATCGGTAATGACGACCTTGTTCTGTTTCTCAGTGATGCGCTGCATGTAAAAGTAACAACGAAGATATTAACTGTAAGCTTTTTTTTTTACCCATGAGAAAAACATCTTTTGATTCTCATAAATTCAGTCAGGGAAGTGTTTGTATATTGGTGGGAGACAAAATGCAGCTATCTACCCAATGACTAAACCTATATATATACATATATATGCTACTTCCATGCAACTGGAACCGTGTCTATTGGGTGGACTGGGTTGGTTTTAGGTCAGGGCGTCAGGCCAATCTAGATTGACATTTATGATCAAATCGAGCTGGTTCAAATTCTGATCGAGTTTTCGGGATTGTGTCAAAATTGATAGGTCTACCATGCAACCTACAACAGTTCTTTCTTTCCCATTCTTGTATTTAACTTGTGTTAGGTTTCTGTCTCAAAGCAACGCCAGTAACAAACAGAAATTGGAGTTGCGATCCCAGTCGATGTGTTCAGCGGACACTTGGACAATAACTCTTAACGGTGTTTACTAACAGAGAAGTTATGAAAGGGTGTCGTTGAACATACATTAAATGGAATGTAAGCATGTCTGCCATTGACAGGACCGACAGTGAAGCCTGTATACCCAGCCATTGCTCCATGTACAGCACTATGAGCAAGTAGGGTGCAGTAGACATTATCAGAAGCAATGCTAGGAATAGCCCGGATCATGTGTAGGATCTGAAAGCAAAAGTTTTGATGTCAAATATTATGCACATTACTAGAAATTTGAATTTGGTAGGGACGAAGTAAATAAAGAGCGAATGAGATATTAACATATATATTTAAGATTAATGGGCATCATTTTCGCAAAATGGTCCTACACAAAGTGATAATAGACGGTTAAAGATTTCAGTGTAGATGTTAAATAGACATCTAGTCAGTAGCCATGTATTAATTGAAGTTTATACCTTTATCCCGTGAGAGATCCACAACCCGACATCTTGAAGAAGCTTGTTTCCAGAAGCATCTTGCTGGTTCAAGGACTGCAAGCTCTCTGAAAGAAGATCCTGTCCTGCTCCTTCAGCTATAACAATAACCGTATGTCCGTTTTCTTTGAGTCGTTTTTTGATATATTCATAAAGTCCACTATGCAGCATATTTCTTATTTGACACTTGGAAGAAATAAGAATTACTTAGAGGGATTGTGGCAATACTTTGTAGATTCATCCTCACTAACTCTTTGATAATAGACCGGAATATCATTGTCAATAGTTTTCGGAATTCCAGCAACAGCTACTTTGAGGCCACGTCGCCTAATTTCCTAACAAGATCATTAAACATAAGTAGTGAATATCAATTAGTTGCATCGTTTGGTAGTCAAATTAATGCCAATAATTGCTTAGAGGGATTGTGGCAATACTTTGTAGATTCATCCTCACTAACTCTTGGTCATATTCATCAACCACTATGCAACATATTTCTTATTTGACACTTGGAAGAAATAAGAAATGGCCAAATGCTAATACCTAAAAAATTACTGCTGCTCCTCTTTGCGTCCCGTCACCTCCAATTATATAAACCTGAAGCGCTAACTGAGACAATTAGAAGCTATGCAGTAGCAGCCATTTGAAAAAGAATTTGATGAATAAATTCAAACAAACAGAGAGGAGGCTCAGACAGAAACTCTACCCATGCACCTCAATGTACCTGATTGATTCCACGATCCTGAATGCTGTCAACAATCTTGGATTTGACATGACCCCCTCTTGATGTCCCAAGGATTGTACCACCGCGTTTTTGGATATCGTTGACAAACTTGGGCGTAAAGGTGATTGTGTTCTTTGCATAAAAACCCCTATATCCTCCCTAAAGGTGTCCCAAGTATATGTTGAAGATAAAGTCACCGAGTGATGGTGTTTCTCATACAGATCATAAACCAAGTAATCGAATAGTATTAAACCATAGGGTTACTTACATCTATTCCAATAACTTTTCGGACACCATAGGTGTCCCTATATTCTCGAGCTCAGTTGGACAAAAATGTTTGAATGTCAGCATCAAAGGTAGTGGCAAAGGTTCCAAGGGTCACTATAGTTTAAAGCTGCTAAGCTGTTTTATGGCAATGATGCCGCCATTCCCCCCCCCCCCAAATAAAGCTGTTTTAAGAGTAAACAAATGATGTTTTAGGTTTCTGTTTACAGCCATGAGGTTATATTTCTTTCATCCTTTAACTTGAAACTAAGTTCAGTTCTTTCATGGAGTTTAGTTCGACTTACATTGTTTAATTACATGTTTATGGAGAATAAAGATGGTGGAATGTATTATTAAGAAAGCAACCATACGATAACCGTATGGGGAAGAACAATTATTGGGTAAAGTGGACAAATTCTCACCCCGATTATGCCACGTCAATTTAATTGTTCCGTTTGAAGGGGGAAAATACCCTACAGTGCCTAAAATTGCAGGCTATTGTTGTATTGTCTTAAGAGTGAAGTTGGGTTCGTCAGAAGGCGTACTGGTAGATAGCATCAGCTACACCGTCTACATCATTGCTAACACCGATTACATCGGCCACGGCTTTCGTTTTCTCCGATCCATTGGTGAGAGCAACTCCTAGAGATGCTAACTCGAGCATTTCCATGTCATTTTCCCCATCACCAATTGCCATTATCTACAGCCAAATATAAGGAAAAAGGAAAATTGATTACAATTGTGCGTTCTGATAATGGGTGTCCCTAGCCTATTGGTGCTGTCTAAGAATACTTAGTATACTATTTGAGGAAGACTATTTTCGAATATAACGTATTGCCTTCACGAATTTAAAGAAAATCAGTGCCAGTAAGCACAATTTAACATTTCTCGTAGAATTACTAAGGTCGCTATATTTTGGTAAGTATCACAGCAGTTCAAACTATGTAGAATGGTCAATGAATAATGTTGCAGCTAGTTATCTGACGCCAGACAGAATAGTGATTATCCTGTAGGCTAGCTCCGACAGACGATTCACAAGAGAAAATTCGCCCAAAAACCAGAGGAAAAAAGTCTATAGGGTTTAATAAAATAGTATAAAATCAAAACAATCCAAAAAGCAGTCCACAAGTCGGACTGTTATAGCAAAAAAATTTCTTTATTCGAATTTTGCCAAAAATAGCAAAATCCCGAAAATCACTCTAAATTGAAATTCGAAATAAAATAAGCAATCTCCCAAAAATCCAGCCTAAATCGGATTTAAATTGACTTTCTAATTAACAATCGAAATATTACCATAAATAGTAAAAAATAACCAAATCTAGTGATTCGGAGGGGAAAACGGTAGAATTTGAGGTTGAAAAAGGCCACATGGTGTGGAGAGCGTGCGCGTCGAAAAGAGCTTTCCGGATTGGGGTCTTATGCGCGATTCTGACACCTGTAGCCAAAGTTATGGCCAAAAGACTGAAACATACTCAAAACGACCCAATGAGGAACATGTCACAATCAATTCCCGCCTTTGCGCTGATCTGCCAACTCATGGTATCTCAGTGCCATCAACGTGCAATCTGACAGCTCAGCATCATCTGTCTCGGATCCCCCTGCATCAGTCACCCCGGGTTGGAAAGAACTCGTCCTCGAGTTCAGAGTAGTGTCATCAGGATCCACAAAACAATGACTCAGGTGCTTCACATTAAAGACATCAGAAGTCTTCAAGTGACTGGGATGTCGCAACCTGTAAGCATTATCATTGATCTTCTGCACGACCTCACAAGGTCCATCTTCCGATCTTTAAGCTTATTATACTCACCAACAGGAAAACGATCACGAGTTAATACAGCCCAAACAAAATCACCAACATCAAAAAGTACCTGACGACGATGATTGTCGACCCGAGTCTTGTACTTGGTATTGCTCTCATGAATGGTCTGTTTCACCTGCTCATGGATACCCCGAAGATACTTTTCCATCTCATCTGCTTTAGGACTGAAACGTCCTATACGTGGAATAGGGGCTAAGTCCAACACCCTGATGGGTTCTGACCATAGACAATCTCAAATGGGCTTAAACCTGTGGTTCTGTTTTTGATATGTTGTAGGCAAATTCTGCCTGAGGCAATGCCAAATCCCACTGCTTCGGCTTCGTTCCTGCCAAACACCTTAAAGGTTCCCAAACTTTGGTTCACCACCTCAGTCTGGCCATCCGTCTGGGGGTGGTAGGCGCTACTGAAATTCAACTGTGTTCCCAGTTTCCCCCACAGGTTCTTCCAGAAATGACTGATGAACTTAGTATCACGATCTGAAGTGATTGATCGAGGAACACCATGTAAACGCACAATCTCCTTGAAATAGAGATGGGCAATCCGGTCAGCATCCATAGTCTTTCTGCAAGCTACAAAATGAGTCATCTTGGAAAACCTGTCAACCACAACAAAGATAGAATCAGAGGCCCTTTGGGTGCGGGGTAAGCCTAGTACAAAATCCATGCTGACATCGAACCAAGGAGCTTCAGGAACAGGTAAGGGAGTGTACAATCCCGCATTGGTGAGAACTCCCTTAGACCGCTGGCACACATAACAACGGTCTACATAATGGGCCACATCACTAGTCAACTTGGGCCAATAAAATTCAGAAGAGATAAGGGCCAATGTCTTATCTCAGGGAGTTCACTTATAATTTGCTGCCTCAATGAACAATCTGGAATGCACAATTGTAATCCACGAAACAGATACCCATTATGCAAAACAAATCATGACGGTGACCCTCAGTTACCTCCTGAAATATCCTTCCAAAGGAAGGATCAGCTGCATACATATCTGTGAACGTCTCAAATCCTGCAACTTTAGTACTCATGGTGGTGAGAAGTAAGGTACGACGGCTCAGGGCATCTGCGACGCGGTTCAAACTCCCTGCTTGGTGCCTCAGCGTAAAAGTGAATTCTTGCAAGTATGCTACCCACTTGGCATGACGTCTACTCAGCTTGTGTTGGCCATTGATGTACTTCAAGGCCTCATGATCGGTAAACAGAATAAACTCCTTATGTACTAGGTAGTGACGCCAATGCTTCAGGGACTGAACTATGGCATAGAACTCCAGATCATAAGTGGAATAATTTTTCTTTGATCCCGATAGCTTCTCACTGAAAAAAGCACCGGACGACCTGCCTGACTCAGAACACCACCAATGCCAACGCCAGATGCATCACAATTTACCTCGAACACTTTGTCAAAATCTGGAAGTGCCAAATTGGAGCCTCGGTCATCTTCTGCTTGACCAGTTGAAAACTGGCCTCTGCCTCCTCAGACCACTGGAAATCACGCCCCTTGAGGCACTCTGTGATAGGGGCGATCAGAGTACTGAAATTTATAATGAATCGACGGTAAAAAGACGCCAAGCCATGGAAACTTCGGATGTCATGTAAGGTTCTTGGTCTGGGCCACTCCAAGACTGCATCTATCTTTGACTGATCTGCATGAACACCATCAGTAACACAACAAAACCAAGAAAAGTCACAGAAGTAGTGAAGAAAAGAACACTTCTTTTGATTGACAAACAAGCACTCCGTTTTCAGCATCTCAAAACAGCACGGAGGTGATCGAAGTGTGAAGTCCATGCGGACTATAAACGAGGATATCATCGAAGTAAACTACAACAATTTCCCCATAAAGCCGCAAGACCTGATGCATAAATCTCATGAATGTACTGGGCGCATTGGATAACACCAAAAGGCATGACCATCCACTCATACAACCCTTGTGGCGTTTTAAACGCCGTCTTCCACTCATCTCCAGGCCTTATTCTGATTTGGTGGTAATCGCTCTTAAGTCAATTTTGAGAAGATCTTAGAACCAATAGCTGATCCAACATATCATCTAGACGGGGAATGGAAACCGTACTTCACTGTAATTATTTGATCGCTCGGCGTCAACACACATACGCCAAGACCATCTTTCTTTGGCACTAACAGAGCAGGGACTGCACATGGGCTCATACTCTCTCAGATATAGCCCCTCTCCAACACTCTTCCACCTGTCGCTGCAACTCTTCGGCCTCCTTGGGACTGAGGCGATATGCTGGTCGATTGGCAAACTTGACCCAGGAACAAGG